CCCATTGACTTTTCTTGTCAAAAGGTTGCAAAAGGTGATCACATGACCCCGGGACACTGCAACCGTCATAAATATGAGCCAGTTGCTGAGCATCTGAATTTTGATCACGTGATCATGGGGCTGCTACAAAGGTTGTGAGAAAAATAGTCATAAGTCACTTTTTTCACTGCTGCTTTAATTTTTAAATGAACTTTTGTAAGTTGAGGACTACCTGAACTAATTTTCAAGGTACCAGTAACAAAAGTTGAGTTATACTTGCAATTTGTATCTTAGTTATCTGAGTTTATCTGTTCTTTGTACTAGGTAAATTTGATCTGATACTATCTTTTTCCAATTTCCTTAGTGTATAGTCATGATTTTCAAATACAGGTAACTCTTATTTAGTGATTGCCTCATTTAGTGTCTACTTGCAGTATGACAGTGATTAAAAAGTAACCAGTCCTTACATTTACAGTCTTTGTAGATCTATAAAGGAAAGAAAAGCCGAAGTAAGATAATAAATTTCACTTTACAGCCAACTTGTGGGTCCTAATTGTGGTTTCTGAATGATGACCAAGATTGTTAAGCTGATATATGTATTTATTTATATATACAATTTATATCTGGTTTTGTCAGTTTGCTTTGATAACTATCAGTATGCTGACTATGGTCCCAAGAGCCCCAAATATTGTGATTCAAATTTCTTAGTTCTTATTCTAATCCTGAATGGGCAGGTCAAGAGAAGATTTTTATGTATATTTATTTAACTAAGCTAGGTATAGATCAAGCATAAAGTTCTCATGTTCAAGAAATTGATATTTTGCTAATCAGAGAAAGGTCTGGGGTTGTTATATAGAGCCAGAATGCCTAGCTCCAGGTCTCTTAGAAAAGTTTCAATGGTCATTTGATATTTAACTGTTATTAGACTATTGAGGTATCCTTTGAAAGTAATGGAAAATTAGAACCCCCATTCTGGCAGCAAATCCCCAGAGAGGATAAGGCAGAAACAAGCTGTAGAAAACTCATTGTTGCTATCCAGGGATCAACTTGATTTTGAAGCTCAGATTCAGTAGTCTAGTAAAATGAAGAATGGGGAAATAAAGGAGACTTTAATTCCTGTTCATATTGTTGAAAACCACTGAAAATAATAAGCAATATAATGTTTAATAATAAATAAAGGATAAGGAGGGGAAAGGAAAAATCAGCTTCCACATACTATAAATGAAAAATAATCAGCTTCCACATACTATAAATTAAGGTTTAACATTGTGAAGCATCAGAAAAAGCGCTAAATATTGGAGCTCCTCCTAAAGTTGCAGCTGGATTGTTAGAGTCCAGTTCCTGCCATATCATTCAAAGACCTAATAAAGGCTTCTATCCAAAAAGGATCAAGCTCTACTATGCATGGAGGTTTCTGAAAAAGTAAAAGTAGAAAGGCCAATTCTTCCTTTTTAGTATCTAAAATTAGTGTGTTATTTCTGTTAGTTATCTACAAAATGTTCAATTTTTCAGCTAGTCCTATGGTATTGTTTGATAAGAGAAAGCCTCCCGGGAGGGGGGGGGGGAATAGACACTCAATTAAGCAAATTTAGAGTCCAGAGCTAATGATTTTATAGGGAAGTAATTCCTTTAAAGTGCCCTTAATTGGCAATAAGCCCAATTGTACTGTAGAAAAGAACGTGTAGTTAAAAGAAAAATAACAACTTATTTTTAAAAATAAGAAAAACTTGTTGGGACAGATAGTTTTAGTCAATTTGTGTCCCAAGATGTGTTAGTTCAAGTATTTTGGCTTGTTATCTTCACTCCAAGATGCTGCTGCTCCCTGGATAGTCATTTGGGGCCTCCCTGAACAGCAATTAGGATTTTTTTCAGGGGATCCTGGATTTAGCCATTACTAAATCAGTATTGTGAATGGAGGAGTATAGAAGAAAATATACTGTCTGCTCTTGACAATCCTGAAGTCAATATCTCCCCATCATCTATAAACTTCTGTTAGAGGTTGGCTGGAGGATTTAGAAAGAAGTAGGTTTTTGTAAGACAAGGCTACGCTATAAAAAACCTTTTATTTCTAAACCATACATCCTGAATTTGTCTCTAAAGCGTGTAACTTTTCTTTTGTTTCTTAATATGCTTCTGAGTCTACACATAGCAAAAAGCTTTTATTACTTTTATTACCAGTTTATCTATAGAAAAATGGATAGAAACAATATTTTGATGGGGCAAAATCAGATAAAATATTCAATGACATCTGAAAGGATGAAAAGTACATGACAAAAAAAAGATTCATTTGGTTAACTTCTCACCCTGGAAAGCCATAAATCATATATTTGATACAGTCAGACTTTCATTTCCCTATCCAGGCTTTTATAAAAATATAGTTACATCTAATTGTGTGCTTCATATTTATTAGGGTGCATCTAAACCTATTGTCATCTATCCATCTTGGTTTTCCTTTCTACATTCATTGGTTTGCACCATGCATCAGTGATTCATAGCACACCACAGTGCAGGCTGTTTGCCAAGCTTCATCTTTCCAGTGTCACTTAGTTGTCTTCTCCTTTCAATCAAATCTTGATGTGGACTGACTGTTCATGGCCTCTAGAAGATCTTTATACTTCTGGAAGGTAATAGAGAAAGAAGAGGACCAGAATTATTATTAGGCAGAATACATTAGAAACTAATAAATCAAGGATGTGCAGTCTAAAGACCCTCAAGAATATGACAAGTTAAAGCTAATATAGAATCCACATGTGCATTCATTTTATTCATGGCTGATGGATTCCATTGTGATATGGTTCGACAGTTACAGATACTATCTGTTTAAAAATGTGCATCAGAAGATATGTGTGATTGATTATTTTGCATTTATGCTTGTTAACAGCACTGAATGGTAACATATCAGTTCACACTATAATAAATGGAAACACTGGATATCAAGGTTTCTTTTTCTTTTATTACAATACATTGAAGATAATGGGTCAGACATTCTTTCACAATTAAAGCACTGATTATGTTTATTTTTATACTATGCCTGTAAATAACATATATTACTGAACTCTAGTTTTTTTTTCTAAATTTATGTCTGTAAAATCAACATCTAAGCAATTTAAATAAGAAAGGTTCATATTTTTTCTTCTCTTGGGATTGCATTTATAATAAATTGTTTACTACAGTCTATATTGGTACTAGACTTGGGCAATGTAGAGGTGTCCTATTTTTTAATCAGATAGCTAGATAAGCTTGTAACTTTATTTTGTAAGGTTTTTAATATTCATGTTGCACTTTTTTTTTTTTTTTGAAGAAAAAGGATTTTGATTTAAGGAAACCACTATTTTTAGAATAATTATTTTCCTAACCTGAGTTAAATTCAGACTGCTCAGGGAAAATTGATACATGAAATCAAACTTTAGCATAAAGATAGGTGAAAGATTTTTTTTCAAGATCCAGCATCTAATTGGAAGTTAGGTAGTCAAGGACAAGCATACATGTATATGCTCAAGCACAAATATAAAGTCACCAGATCTTGCTCACCTTGTTATTTCCAACCAGATGCATCAGATGATTAACCATCTGGCAGCACAGATAATTGAAAGGGTCTTTCCTGCTGATGAAAATAACCTAACCTCAGCTCCTAAAGTATTTTTTTTTAAAGTGAACAGTATCATTTAACTTATGCAATTGAGGGATATGCTGGGATTGGACTCTTTTAAAAGTAATCTTGAAAAAGACAAGGAGGGCTGGAAGTAACTATCATAATAAGGATAGCTGATAGGGAATCCCAGAGTTGTAGGCTAGACTTAAGAGAAAGCAGGAGCTAGAGACAGAGACAAAGCTAGAGAGATAGATAATACATACATACATACATACATACATACATACATACATACATACATACATCTCCTAGAACAGGGATGTCAAACTGCTGGCCTGTAGGCCAGTTGCATCATGAGGAAGCTGCACCCACCCCACCTCCAGCAATGTGAAAAAAGTCATGATACGTCACGACACATCACATAATGTGGTGAGTTTGACACTCATATCCTAGAAGGAAACACTTCCAAATTGTTGCCTCAAAACCTATATGCATATAATGCTTGAATCACAGTAACAGAAGGACTTTTAATCCAACCCTCTGCCCAGGCCAGGAATTCTCAGATTATCCCAAAGAAATAGCTGTCCAGTCTTTGAAAACATCCAATGATGGACCACTTACGACTTCATGAGTCAAGCTGTTCCCCTGTTTAATAGCCCTCATTGTCAGGAAATTCCTCATTTTGAGTTTGATTCTCTTTGTAAATCTTCTACCTCTTGATTCATGTCCTACCCTCAGATGCAAAAAAACAAACATATTTTGTTCCTATGACAGACAATAAGATATTAGAAGACTATTATTTCCCCCCTTCTCTTCTTTAGCCTAAACATACTCAGTTTTTCACAGGATTTAGCTTCCATTTTTGTTGCTCTTCTCTGGACTCTTTCCAATTCCTCAGCACCACTCTTGTGTCGCCATGACCAAAACTAGATACAATGTTCCAGATGCTGAAGTCTGATCAGTGCCAAGTAACCTGGAGTTCTCCCTTCCTCCAATGCTGCTCCAGAATCCCAAAGGATCGAAATCGTACATCGGATTCTGAATCAATACATATGAGGACTACTTGGAATATTAATTTGCATAGTTAATAATTCCCTCCTTCAGTCATGTCCACACTCTGTCCAAAACATGCTTTACATTATTATTTGCTTCTTTCCAACTTGACTGGGGCACTTGGGAAAGATGGATAGTGAAAAATCTGGGGATCCTAAACTTGCCCTGCCCTCTCCCAATTTAAAGGTTAAATGTTCTATTTGTCTCAGAAGAGGCTTCTGAGAAAATATTTGAGCAGGGCCAAGGTAGAGAAGGATGCCTGAGAAAGCAAAGGTCACCTTAATCAATCCCGCTCCTTTCCCTTTCCTTCCTCCTCAACACAACCCTTTCTCCTGAACGTCTGCTAAGGTGGCTTTACCACCATCGGCGGCTGAGACATGCGTATTTTCAGTGGCATTTAAACAACAACAATAACAAAAACAAAAACAGCACGAGGGCCGAAGTCGAGGCAAGAAACAAAAGGGGTCAGAGGCTGGTACTCGCGGCGTCTCGGCTCGCTTTGTTTATTTTTCAAGCCACCCCGGAGGAGCCGCCGGGAGCTTCTCCTGCAGCAGTCTCGGCAAGCGCACCAGCCAGCCTGAGCGAGTCACACGCTGCATACACGCATCCCCGCGCTGGGCCGACCGAGCGGGCGGGCGTTGGAGGAGGGGCAAGGAAGCGAGCGAGGCGGCCGAGGAAGAAGAAGCGCGCCGAAGAAGAGGGAGAGAAGGGGAAACCCCTGCGACCGCTGCGTCTTTCTCTAGCCGTGAAAGAGGCGGGGGCGAGGAAGGAGCCGCGTGAGCTCAGTCTCCCCGCTGTGCGCCCACCCGCGGCGCTGCGTGGCAGCCCCTCGGCTGCAGCGGAGCGGTGCTGACATCTTCCAGCTCCCTCGGTTTCACTATGGACAGCTTCGATTTGGCGCTCCTGCAGGAATGGGACCTGGATTCTCTCTGGTAAGGCTGGGTGTCTGCGTTGAAAGCGCTGCGTTTGCTCCGGATTTCTACTTCGGGTGCCGGAGTTCTGAAAGAGCCGCGGGAATGGGCTACCCCAATCCTGTAACGCGCCTCGTTAGGACTGGTTCTGGTGATGTTATTCTAGTATGAATACTAAAGATGCAGTAATAGTACTAAGAAGGTTAAAATGATGGAGTATTATTACATGTCGTATTTTCGTTTGCAGTGATATTCTTCACGCTGTCCTTCAAAACTCTCTTTCTGGGGGCTGAGTTCGGCAACTGCACCTCTCAGTTTCTTCTCTGTGCTTCCACTCTTTTTTGCGATTTTCCTCTTCAGTTCTGCTATTCTCCCGCTTCTCTCTTAACTATTCATCTCTTTCTCCGTCTTATTTCGGGGCGAGTTCCCCAGGGCTTCCTCCCCCCTCCCGGCGCGTTTGTGTCCTCCCGTTTTCCTTTCTTTCCTTGGAAACACCTTGATTTTGCTCTGGCCGACCCCCCCCCCCCCACCGCCTGATCCGCCTTCTGCTTCTCGAGTCATTGTCCCCCTTTTTGCGGCTTAGGCTCTGCTCCCCAGCCTGACCCGCGTCTTCACCTAGATTGCTCCTCGTGTCAATAAATATAGAAATTGCTGCATTTCCAAGCGACATCTGGCAGCAGTCAGAAACCATTTCTAGAAATACCATTAAATTTCTTCTTTCTTGTTGCCATTCAAAGGGCCAGCCTTCACAAGCGAATTCCTCCAGTACAGTAATTGCAACTGATGGCATTTAGCATATGGGCACCCTTAGCTCATTCCCTCTATAATTACAGTAATGCCATTGCTGTGAGTTAACCTTGATCTCTGTATGTGGCTATTGTTTATGCATCTCAGGTATTTTTTGCAACTGCTGGGTGCCACTTCAGTCTTTGCCAGCTTTCCTGTTGATTATAGCCTTTATGGCTTAACCTTTTGTATGTGCTTCTAAGACAGTGGTTCTCAACCTTCCTTATGCCGCGACCCTTTAATACAGTTCCTCATGTTGTGGTAACCCCCAACCCCCATCCAGTTGGCGGGGAGGAGGGGCAGGAAGGCCGCTCCTCCAGCTCCGCCCAACCTGGTTGGAGAAGCGCCATTCCTCTCCCTCTTTCTCTCTTTCTCTCTCTTTCCTCTCTCTTTCTCTTTTTCCTCTCTTTTTCTCTTTCCTCTCCCCCTCTTTCTCTCTTTCCTCTCTTTCTCGGTTTCCTCCCTCTTTCTCTTTCTCTCTCTTTCTTCTCTCTTTCTCTTTCCCTCTTTCCTCTCTCTCTTTCTCACTCTCTCTTACAGCAGCATCATCGGGGGTCCCCACTGCCCCGGCCTGGCCTCCGCCGTGTCCTCAGCTGAATGGGTGGGGAGGGGGAGCAGGATGGGAGGCAGTGCTCTGGTGGTGGCGGCACGGCTGCATCATCGGGTCCCCGCCACCCTTGGCCCAGCCGCCACCCCCGCCAGGACTCCACACTGCCCGGCCTCACCCTTCGCCCATCGATGGAGCCGTGGTAGGGACAGTGCCCGCCTGAGCCGCCTGGGGGGCAGCAGGAGAAAGAAGGAGAGGAGGAGGGTGAGGAAGCAGCTGCCCTAGCCGGGACTCCACGCTGCCCGGCTTTGCCCTTTACCCATTGATGGAGCCGCGGTGGGGGCTGGAGCCACGCGGCTCCTGCCAGCCCCTCTGCCAGCCCGGCTGCTCCCCCCAGGCACCCCTCTTGTCCTGGTGCCCGCCCAAGCCACCTGGGGGGCAGCAGGAGGAAGAAGGGGAGGAGGAAGAGGAGGGCAAGGAAGCTGCCACCAGTGCCAGGCCCCAGAAGGAGGCTCTCTTCTCCTACGATTGCTACATCTCCTTCTTCCTTCCCGGCAGCCTGGACTCCAGTGCGCCTTCCCAGCCAGCAAGGCCAATGGTTGGGCTGGCTGGGAATCACAGGGGCTGATCTCCCTTGGGCCGCGGCTTGTGGGAGGGCTGGCCCGCTCAGCGGAGCCTCCAGCGGGCCACTCCCAGCAGGGATCCCGAAGCTTCCCTGGGCGGCTCCAAGGCCACGAGGCCCTGGCCGCGCTTCTCCCAGGGTGTGGGACACCCAGGCACAGAGCCAATCAGGAGCCCTGCAGGAGGTAAGTCCACCTGAGAGAGAGAGAGAGAGAGAGAGAGAGAGAGAGAGAGAGAGAGAAAGTGCCTCTCTGTCTCTCTCTCTGCAGATGGCGGAGGAGGCCATGCGGAGATGGATGCAGAGCGGTGTCTCGGTCCCTAAGACCATTGGAAATATGAGCCACGACCCACAGGTTGAGAACCGCTGTTCTAAGAGGAAGTAAGTACATCATGTGGTTAAATGAGTGATTATTTATGTTCTGAGTTTAAAGAAGCACAATATACATTCATTTAAAATTCCTATTACATATTTCCTAAGTCTCTTTTTGCTGTATAACTGTCTATTCTCTTTTTTGCAAGGAAGCTGTTCAAAAGATACAGTTATTCTGATATGTAGGTCTTTCTATGTTTAGCATAATTGGAATAATGATGGAGTTGTTTTGCTGAAAAATTATTTGTAGTGTTGTCTCAGGTTTAGGAATTGTGGAAATATCTCATTGAAAATGCATACAGTATGTTCAAATCTGTCTGTCCATCCATCCATCCATCCATCCATCCATCTAACTTTAGGTGCTTTTTTCTGAACATTATGCATAATGCATTCAAAATTTGCAGGGCAGATAATACTGGCAGTAAGTTTTCTATGGAAAAAAGATATTGTAATTGTGCTATATAAGCTCTGCTAATACTGAATTGAGAAATGGCTTACTGAAAAGTTTAAATCTTAAATGTAAATGGGCTATGCAATACATTACAAATGGAGTTGTACATTACAATTACTAATGAGTTAGAAATATTGGATTCTAGAAATAGAGCCCCTAATAATGGATACATTCTATCCATATTAATCCTGATTTTAATGAATAGATATAATCAATAATTTACCAGGCTATAAATGTCATTATAACTTTACTAGTAGACTGTGAGTGAGATGTTATCAGGGTCAATTCTTATTTTGGAACTAAATCATTATGCTGTTTTCTTTTTAATGTCTTTAGGCCAATTCAGTTTTGAATATCTGGATTGAAGAATATAATAGGTCGAAAAAAACCCTTAATTTCCTTTACAATGCAAATTAACTATTTATTTGGCATAGTTAATATTTAAAGAAATCTGGCAGAAATGTTGGGAGACTAGATGCATTTTTGGTACATTTAATTTTCAATATTTTTTTCATAGGCTTAAGTACTATGATTGCCTATTTAAACTAATGTTAAAAAGTTAGCCTTAAATAAATATCGTGGATTTGCTAGAGAGCAACTTTAAGAGAGTTGTACTAAAAATATCTATTATTTTTGTTTGGAGATAAGATTTATATGGTTGCAGATATTGTCATTGATACTCAGCAGTAAGCAGTGTGTTATATCCTGAGAATGACATAAATAGTTTGAGATGGGATTTGCATGGCAAATATTAGCATTTTGTAGCCTTTGTTCTTTATTGCCCAGATTAAATAAGCAGCATTTCATTGTAAAAAGAGGCTATTTTGGTCAATCATTTTAAGATTAATGAGAACAGTGATTTTTTTATAAACATAGGAGAAAATGGATACTTTAAACTTAAAGCATGAATATTGATAACATCATAGCTTCACCACAGTATGACCTGTATGGAACAGAAAACTGCAAGCTTCTTGAGATTGGAGGCCTTATGCCACATTGTGCATTTTCTCCATCCTTTACTTTTTTTAACAAGCACTTGGGTTATTGATATTTACAGAATTTCTGTCACCTCCACCCCTTCAATAAACTTGACCATGATGTTTTAGATATAATAAAATTGTTTTCCTCTTTCTAAAAATTATTTGTTATTGCAAATAAGAAAAATGCACATTTTTATCAATATTATTGCATGAAAAGGAACCACATTCTTGGGTAACAGCAGTAATTCATTGCATTTTGGACTGTATTTACAATGATTTGGTTGCTCATTAAGTAGTGTGAGCCAGAATACTTGATGACTATTTTACTTAAAAGTATAAGATTTTATAGCCATTTATACAGTTTTTATGATTAAATAAAAATGCTTAATCCAATGATGTTCTTATGTGATGAGGAAATGAATAGCAACACGAGAAATCTCGTTGTTACATACAAAGAGACATAATATAGTTTTATAGTACAGATTGTATCAGTATTATTGATGCAAAATACAGACATATAGACATTTTTGTAAGGTTATTGTTACTGCAAATAATTCCTGTTACTGGTGTCCTGTTTCTCCAATGGTTTTCCAGCTGCTCATAAATATATTTGTGTTGAAATTGCTATATTTTTGGGAATTCACATAATGCATAAAAAGTATTATATGTACAGTCTGTTGTTTAGATTGCTTATACTTTGAGATAATCTAAATAATAGTTCATCAATGACCAGTAATATAATTAATCCCAAGAAACACTTAGAGCAATATAATGCACTTTGTGTATTTTCTGTATCCATTAAAAAAGTGTATAATGTGCAGTTAGTTTGCAATCAATTCACTACATTTTTCATTGACAAAGCAATAATATGTTGGTGGAGAAGCAGTTTTTTATTTGGCTGCACTCTAAATGCACTTTACTGCATCTACAATTGTGTTCATGCAAGACAAAACAAGGTGAGAGTCTTGCAAAATTACTGTAAATCATATTGTAGGCATTTAATGAAAATATTTATGTTTGAATATCTTAGGGCCCTTTTAAAAAGGCAAGGTAATTCACAAATGTATTGCGTGTGTGTGTATTTCTGTGCCATTTTGATATTTACTTTGATAAATACATTTACGTATGTATTCTTTTATGGCTGCGTCTAAAACTTTGGAATGAAATTGCTACCATTAAAATCTGCAAATACTTTATGCTTTATTCGTAGCTAATTAAAGTAAAATAAGAGAAGATAAGACTTCCTGAAAAGATGAAGAACATAAA